CAGAACCCTCTCTCCCCCCACCACCAGCCCTGGGCCTGAAGCACCCAGTAAAAAACCAAAACTAAACTCACTGCCGTGGAGTCGGACCCGACTCATAGCGACCCCTCCCTGGGTTTCCGAGGCGGTATCGCTACGGAAGTAGATTGCCCAACCATCCTTCCGAGGAGCAGCTGGTGGGTTTGAACCGCCAGCCTTCTGGTGAGCAGTCAAATGCCTTAGGCATTACACCACCAGAGCTCTGCCAGCCATTCCAGAAGCTTACCGAGCACCAAGCAGACCCTCCTTGGCCAAAGGCTGCTGCCCGGCTGGTGTTCTGGGCCTCAGTTTCCCACACTGGAGTTCTGAGCTAGGGCGGGGGAGGGGCTCCACTCTGTCCTCCCCCCTCCCTCCCCACCCCATCACTCCAGCGGGTGGTGGGTCGGGTGAGGGTCCCACCTCCTGATGGCACCACTGCCCGGCTGAGGTGGGGGCCCAGAGGCGTCTCTTTCCGGGAAACTTGTCTCAGGGGAGCTGGGGAGGGCAGCTTGGTCTCCATGGTAACAGGCTTGCTGGTATGTCTTCCTCTCTCTGCAGGCGGCCACCCCCCTCCCTGGGCTCCCCTTCCCGAGGCCGTGTCAGGACGCAGGGGAGGGGGGCAAGCTCTCCTCCTCCCCCCTACAGCCCTGCTCAGGGGCCCCTTCATATCCATCCTCCTTCCTAACAGCGGAGCTCATTCTATAAGACTCCAGCCTGATGTCACCAGGGCTTACCTCTGTGACGTGCCACCGTGCAGGACACAGCCCCTCTTGGTTTTTTTTAAATTGTGATTTGGGTGAAAATTTACAGAGCAAATTCACTTTCCATACAGCAGCTCACATACTCTTTGTCTCATGACATTGACCACAATTCACCACAGTGCAACAGCTCCCCTCCTACTTCCTCCCCACAGTCACCTGACACAGCCCCTCTCGAAAAACAAACCACACCAGAGACCCCTGTCCCTGGAACCTGCCTTGGTTCTCCTACCCTCTCTTTGCACTTCTCCCTCTGCGGGGAGTGCCTTCCTCCTCCCCTTGTCCCAGCCCACACCTCAAGGCTCCTTTCTGGAAGCTTCCTCAGTCCCCCTCCCCCCGGCCCTTTGTCCATGGGCCCCAAAGTCAGGCACCTCTTGGATGCAGGCAGGAACCATACAAGAGGGAAGCGGATAGGACGTAACGTGGAAGTGCCCCAGTGTGGGCGGCAGTGAGGAGTGGTGGGGTCTGGGGCAAACTGGAGAGACCCAACTGTATCAAACTGATGGCCGCTCTAGAGGCAGGCTCTCTGTGGCCCCAGCTGCTGATTCTTCAAGAGAAGCCAGAAATTGGGTACTTTTCGACACACCTTCCAAAATAAAAAATGTTGACTCAAAACCCAAAACAAAAAGGTTGCATGGAACCAACCAACTGGGGCCTGGATGGGAGCAAAGTCTGAGGTCAATCCCCGCCCTCTGCCCTTGGGCGAAGCTGTCTTCCTGTCACCCTGGGCTTTCCAGGTTGTATCACCTGGCTCACCCCCAGAACCAGAGCCCTCCCAGGGTGGGGCTTCTCCTTAGTCGTCTCTGACCGTCCCCAGAGCCCAGGAGGGCAGTCAGGTGTGGGAGCAGGATGAGGGGGCGTGGCTTGTCCCATTGCTCACTGTCTCATCTCCTCCTCGCCCACAGGTGGGGAGCCCCTCGTCCTATCCGCACTCTGCTGTTGCTGCCGTGGAGTTGATTTCAACTCCTGGCGACCCCGCGTGTGCAGAGTAGAGCTGGTCCATGGGGTTTCAAGGCTGGGACTTTTCAAGGCCTGTCTTCTGGGTGGGTTTGAACCGCCAACCTTTCGGCCAGTAGTTGAGTGCTTTACCAGTTGTGCCACCCAGGGGCTCCTTTTCCACTTTGCAGAGGAGGGAAAGGTTTCAGAACTTTTAAGTGGGGCAACTGAGATTTGAACCCCGATCTCTGTCCACTTCCAAGGCCGAGACATACCTGCCAGGTGTGGTCTGGTGTCCCCACGGCCCCTCCTGGCTGTGACGGGCTCCATCCCTGGGGTGCAGGTGGGTGCAGCTGTGTGGGAGGAGCCATAGGCACAGGCCTCCCTGACAGCGGTGCCTCCTAGGTTGGCCTCTGTCAGCCCAGCGGTGGCCTGGCTAAATATATCCACTGACGCAAATGTTGCTCTGTGCGGGGTTCTAAGCTACAGTTAAAGTTCTCTGTTGCTTTGTAAAGATGTAGCTCGCCTTGTTTGTTTTTCCTTAACAGACTGTCTCAATGATTATAATCTGATTTAAGTGATTATAAAAATAATTTACAGATGCTCCGGTAGAAACACAGGCGTGTGTCAGGAGGACACACTGCCGGGTGGGCCTGCTGGTTGCCGTCAGTCGTCAGGGAAGGAGGCTGGTGCCCGCTGCCCCGGCACACACAGACACACATACAGGCACTCACGCTGCCACGCAGACACCCCATATAGACACACACAGACACACACAGGCACTCAAACTGCCATGCAGACACCCCACACCCCACACGGACATACTCCTACACACACACACCACACAGACACCCCCTCCACGTCCACCCTTCTCACTCTTCCTCAGGGCTCTCTCTCGCCCCTTGGGCTGGTGAGGCCAGGCCCAGACATTCCCTGAGGGAGCTGCTAGACCAGCTCTGGTTCTGAGCACGGAGTACCCCAGCCAGGCTGGAGGAGACGGCTCATTGCACCCACGTGGGCTCGGCTGCCCAGCTACCCGGGCTCCACGCTATTGAGCCCTGAGAGTCCCCACTGCCCCCAGAAACCTTGGGAGATGAGGCTCCCCGGGGACAGGGCCGGGGACTCCTTGTCAAGTGCCCCCTCACCCGTGACGGCAGCTCCCCACTGACCGCGTCCTCTGTGTGGGGCCTGGGTCTCCATGCGTCCCTGCCACGTGACCAGCGTTGAGTCTGTGCCCCTGGCCAGCCTGTGCCCTTCTCATCAGTGGGGTAGCTGTGTAGCCGGGGACGGCCCCCAGTGTCCGCACGCTGAGAAGGCCCAGGGCAGAGAATGGGCTTTATCCCGAGGGGTGGGAAGCTGTCGGAAGGTTTTAGCCGGGGTGTGATGTGGGGGCTTTATCCCGAGGGGTGGGAAGCTGTCGGAAGGTTTTAGCCGGGGTGTGATGTGGGGGCTTTATCCCGAGGGGTGGGAAGCTGTCGGAAGGTTTTAGCCGGGGTGTGATGTGGGGCCTGGAAGACGTGCTCAACTTTGCCCTTTAAAGGGCCCCCTCTGGCTGCAGGGGGAAAGGGGGCCGGGAGCGGAGGGGGCAGGAGGCTGTTGCTGCTGCCCAGTGAGGGGCGGGGGGCTAGCTGGGGTGGGGGCCAGGGGAGTGGTCACGTTTACTAACTGGGGAGTCCAAGATGCCTTCGTGTCTAGGGTGTGACGGCAACAGAAGTTTGAACTGCTAGCAGGGTACTTTAAGTTCTTTCTTGTTCCACAGAACCTTCTAGAAGCATCTGATCTTGCTGTTAGGTGCCTTCGAGTAGGTTCTGACTCATAGTGACCCTGCGTTCGACAAAGCGAAACCCTGCCCCGTGCTGCTTCTCACAGTCACTGCTGTGCGTGCGCCTGTCGTGGCAGCCCTGGGTCACTCCGTCTCCCTGTGGGCCTTCCCTTGTCTGCTACCTCTCGGCTTTTTCAGCATGGTGTCCTCTCCAGGGGCTGGTCCCTATAACATGTCCACAGTATGAGAGACAGAGTCTCACCACCCTCACCTCGAAGGAGCATTCTGGTCATACTCCCCCCACCCTTAATTTTAATTGTGATCTGGGTGAGAGGTTACAGAGCAAATTCACTTTCCATATAGCAGTTCACATACACTTTGTCTCATGACATTGCCTATAATTTCTCACAAGGTAACAGCTCCCCTCCCACTTCTTCCTGATACTCACCTCTTCCCTGTGTCCATCCCTCCACACACTCCTGCCCCCTGAGCTGTCTCCCTGTGCATAAGCAGCCCTTCTTTCTGCCATGATTGTTCTCTCCAAGGAGGGTATCTACCTCAGGTTCAACTCCTATGCCTGTCTTTTGTTTGGCTGGAAGCCACAGGAGTGGGTTCAATTCCAGACCTGAAGGGCAGCTGGGGGCCATAGTCTCAGTGGTTCCACCAAGCTCTATCAAACCAGCAAACCTGGCCTTTTTTTTTTTTTTTTTTTTTTCATGATTTTGGGTTTTATTCCACATTGTTCTCCCTCTCTATCCAGGATCTCCTATATAGATCCCCCTCTGAGTGGTTGACAGTGGTAGCCAGGTACCGTCTAGTTCTTCTGGTCTCATGGTCATACAGGCTGCGGATTGCCTCCCAGTCCTTTGGATTATTTGTTTCCATGACTGGTCCTGCTTCTTACAGGACAGCATCTAGTTGAACTGCTTTTCCCCCAAAAGTGTAAATATGTTTCCTGACTTCTGAGACTCAACAGTAGCTTGAGCTCTTCAGTTCCAGCCAAACTTCAAGGGACTCTACCCAGGAGTTGCAGGAGCCCTGGTGGTGCAGTGGTTAAAGCATTTGACTGCTAACTGAAAGGTCGGCGGTTCAGATCCACCAGCTGCAGCATGAGAGGAAGATGTGGCAGTCTGCTTCCCCAAAGATTCCAGCCTTGGCAACCTCAAGGTGGCTCTGTGGGCTTGTGTGAGTTGGAATTGGCTCGATGGCAGTGATGGGCTTGGGTACCCAGGAGGACCTGGGTGCTGCAGATGACTAAGTGCTTGGCTGACTATTTGGTTGTTAGTTGACAGTTTGAACCCCCCAGTGGTGCCTTGGCAGAAAGGCCTGGCAATCTGCCTTTGAAAATCACAGCCATTGAAAACCCACGGCGCTCAGCTCTCCTCTGACAAACATGGTGTCGCCATGAGTCGGAACCAGCTGTGACGAGTTGATGCTGAACATCGGGGGGATCAGAAGCCGGCTCACCCCCAGGGTGAGGGTCAGCACCGGGTGTTTCCAGTAAACTCTCCCCTGTGTTTTCCCTGCAGAGCGGGATGCCTTCGACACCCTCTTTGACCACGCTCCAGACAAGCTCAACGTGGTGAAGAAGGTAAGTGAGGCTTGGGTTTGCTGCCTTGCTCTCATCCCCGGGCCTGTACGGGGTGAACTCCATGCTAGGGCGAAGGTGGGGAAGTGTTTGAAGTCTCTGAAATGTTTGCCACACAGATTGAAATGTAATTATAGTCAAAAACATAACTGCAGTGCATAAAATTAGCACCTTTTAACTTACCGTCTCTGCACCCTGGGTATCTCCCTGCCCACCTGCCTTACTTCTGCTAACTGAATTACCCAGCCAGTGCCACCGCGTGGCAGTTAATTCCGACTCCAGGCTTTTTTTTTTTCAGCGTGGAAATGTTTTTAAGTGTGTCAACCTGCTGGCTCTCACAGGCCTCATTATCATGAAGCTGCGCTCCCAGCCCGTGCCTGTGGGCTCTGTCGTCAGAGCTGCTGGCTCTGCGGTCTTGGCCTGCTTCCCTGCCAGACAGGAGCACAAAGAACCAGGCCTTCACCAGCCCTGGCAGCCAGCTGACAAACCTACGGGTGGGGAAAAAAAATGTGCAGCCCCATGGTTCTGAAGTCAGGGGGGCAGGGGATGGTGGGCTTCTAGGAGGATATGTAAAGAGGACTTGTGCCCCACAAGTGAACTGAGACTCCCCTGAGCTGCACATGAAGTGATCTGCACACCTGCAGGCGGCTCCTTGGGGAAGGATGGATGCATGTGTGACCCTAAGGAGCAAGCATCGTGGCCGCCTTCCGCCTGCAATGCTTTCCTCAAAGGATTTCTTAGCTGGGGGCCTGCTCAGAGCCTTTATTATGCTGACATGCAATGCAGTTCTCCAAGAGGGGGCTTGGTGTCGATAGTGGGATTTATCTATCTGTTTATTTGGGGTAAACATTAAATTCCCTTGGAATCTCTTTGGAAAGTGCTAATCCGGACTTGGACAATGAGGCCTTTTGTTTGGAAGCACTTTGCAAGCAGTCCTTCTGGGATGGAGCCTTCCTCAAGCTTTCATAGTTGCGCTGCCGGCAGGCATTTCTGGGGGTGAGGGACGTGCTTGGAGCCTCAGAGCAGTGCCCCACGCCGGCCACATTGGCCCCTGGTGACCCTGACAGAGCAACTCAGTGGGTGTTGCTCAAGGCTCCCTGCATGCGTGTCTCAAATTGCATGGTCCGTGTCTTGCACGCTTGTTTCCTGTTTCCCATGTATGTTTCATGTTGTATGTTTCATTCATACACACACACACACCAGGTGTGCATATGCATAGCTGTACCCCGGGCTCTCAGGGCAGGGCTCTGTCTTACTGTCCTCTTGTCCCCAGCACCAAACAGTGTGGGCACATAGCAGGTATTTAGTAAATATGGGGAGACTGAAGGGGGCCATGGCACCAGTTCCAGGAGTGAGGTGTGGCATTACGGCATTTCCGTCAAAGCGGGATTTAATTGATGAGAAGAGTTACCAGGGACCAGTTTGAAACTTGCCCGAGAGGTGAAGCAGTGCAGCCTGGTATGCACATGACAGGCTCAGAACAGCCTTGCTGCCCTGAGGACCAGACCTGGGTGGAGGTTCTCCATTTATGGAAACCATGGTGTCCACGGTCCAGGGAGGCCTCTCTTCACAGTCTTCCAAGTCATTCAAGGCTGTGTCTAGCATATGTTTAAAACTTGAATTATCGCCCCCCTGCACTTTCATCCCTTCTTAAGGCATGGATGATTCTTCTATGTGGTCGTGCGACTAAGCATATGTGCGTGTGGACCGGTGAATAGGCAGATGTGTTGTCTTGCTAGATTTCGGCATTAGGGGAAAGAGGGCATCATTGCCTGGGGGGACACTGAGGTCCTGTTAAGGTGACAGGGGAATGCAGAGACGGGCAGCGGTGATGGTTACATGATGGCGGTGATTAATATCACTGAGTTGCACATGCAAATTATGTCAAAATAGCAAAATGTTTGCTATGTATATGCCCATCACAATAAATGCAAAAATTGAAGAACTCTTCATTTCAAACACGGGTGTTGATTCTAACAAGCAGGAGACTACAGAAACGTTTCACCAGCTGGTGATGCCAAACGTCAGGTCGGCTCCACCAGGCAGGGCCCGAGCCTCGTCACTCATGTTCCCCTGTGTCTTTTTATCCTGACAGTCTCTCATCACGTTTGTGAACAAACACCTCAACAAGCTGAATTTGGAAGTGACGGAGCTAGAAAGCCAGGTATGGAGGATTGGGTTCGAGGATTGTGTGTGTTGGGTTTTCAGTCCACATTGGTCCTTGGTGATGCAGGGGTTGAGCACTTGGCTGCAAATCAAAGGTTGGAACCCACCAGCCACTCCGTGGGAGGAAGATGAGGCAGTCTGCTTCTGTAAAGATTACAGCCTTGGAGACCCTGTGGGCAGTTCCACTCTGTCCTCTAGGGGCGCTGTGGGTCAGAAT